AACTCCTGCCTATTCTCCAAAATTGTAGAAGATTCTCGAGAGTAGGAATCAACAATATATCTATATACGTAAACCAGTATTGTTACGTAAGAATGAATTTTCTAGAAAACGTTCCCACGCCTATAAATAGAACCAACGCGACGCGTCGAGTGAGAGTGTCTATTATTAGTTCGCTATAATCAGTGTGCTATAAAATTTCGAAAGCTATAACTTGGATTTTTATAACGATTATCAATCGGAAAACTTAAGATGTTTAACCAGGAATATTTATAAATTTCAAACCTTACAAATCGTTAAATTCAGTAGATTCTCATCGGACATTAGTACTTTTACGAAAACATTACCTAACTACAATGGTGAAAGACAGCGTGTGTGGCCAAGGATACAAAGCTAGCTGGTTTCTCGGCGAATCATACTTACATGAACTCGCTCATCGTAAACCCTCGATAAGATATCTAGAAAGTTCCAGACTAGAAAGAAAACTTTATATTGATTGTAAGTTTGTGAAACTTTTGTTTATAAATCATTGTTTGTAATAACTGTTATTGTAAATTGTATTGTTGTGTATATATTAAAATGTATGTATGTTAAAAAAAAACTGTGTGTATCAATCTTGTTGGCAAATATCATAAGCTGACTATATATTGGCTTTTACTTAATGGCGAAATCTAAAGTACAATTTAACTACTAAATTTAAATTTATCAGTTAACTCAATTTCAGGCTATTTGAAACTCTAATACATAACAATATATATCACAAGGATAAACATACAAGTGATCTTGGGGTACACCCCATCTTAGCAGTGTGTGTTTAGTGGCCATGGAATTATAATTGTCAAGTCATCATGTCCTTATAGTGTGGCTTTTACTAGTTTAGGTAGAACTAGACATACACCAATTGCCACAGAACAGGATACATAAAGAAAAATAGGGATATGCCTATGAAGAATAAGAGGTATATATACTTAAAGGTAACTTACCAAGTTACAGTCTCAAAAAACAGTGAAGATTGGCAAAAGGTGGATGACAGTACCCCAACAAGGAAGAAACAGATACCCAAAGCAGAGAATGGAACAAGAACGTATGAGGTGTAGTCCCAGTGCTTGACAGACGAAGTACCTCCAACAGATGACAGGGTTAGTATGCAGGGAAAAGAGAAGGTGCATGATCAGAGTGAAGACACCAGGAATTGTTGACGGGAAGAAATAAAAGGTCAATTGGTTCACAATAAAAAACCTATGAGTCAGGGAGGAAGGGAAAAAATCACAAAGAAGTGGAGTAAAAGAAGGAAACCATGGAAATGGATTTTATGGAAAAAAACCCATAAAAACAATGAAGCAACCCACAAGATGTACTGAGTAGAAAAGGTCATTTGGATCCAACCGAGAAGAAATGTGGAAGATAGTAAGAAATGAAAAAGTTGACATGAGCCATGAAAAATGAAGTTAATAAAACTGATCCAGAACAAAGGAAGCAAATTGAGCTGAAACAGCTGAGAAACCAGATCTGTGTCGACCAGGTAAAATAAGTCTGAAAGACCAGAACTGGAGTAACATGGATGAACAAACATTTTGGGAAGAAGACTGACTGAATGCAAAAAAAAATTAATGTTATAAACTGAATGATGACCTAGAGACCAAAAACAAAAGAGGTAGCTACCTGGAAATTGATAAAAGATTCAAAAATGTCATGTGGAGGAGTACCCCACAGGAAGCAGAGCCACCAACAACTATGGACGATCAAGAAGTTGGGAGAAAGTGTGACAGGACTGGAAAGTCAATCAGCAACAAGGACAAAAGCACCTGGAACACGACCCTTCAGGAGGCATATATCAAGTGTGTAAGTTGAAAAAGGGAGATCCACTGTCTACCACAAAGGGAACAAGAATGAGTGTCCCATAGGCATGTGATAGAAGCCACCACCATTGAAGAGTCGAAATGAAACAAGATGAGTCAAAAACCATAACAGTATAAAGTCTTATCTTTCCAAAGTCAGCTGACTGTACGCCAAAATGTGTGGGCCCCCAAACTTGAAGCAAAGCCCAACAAAGGCCAGCTCAATGGACAATCAATCAATCTCCTGATGAAGAAAACCAAAAATCTTCCCATAGAGTACTACTACCTAAAGCCTGTGTAAATGTGCCAATAGAACATATAACCTCTGAAATGGTAATGTAGAATTCATAATGCAAAATGAATAACCAAACACAACTGTGTTGACAGAAATAAATAAAAAGTATTTGTAATGAAGTAATAAGTTCCACAACCAGATAGAAATATAAAATAATTCCATTTTCTAAAAACTCAACAAGTTACAAATATCACTATTGTATAATAAAGAGAAAACTAGTTGAGAGAAATTAATACAGAAATATAGAAAAAAATTAAAATGAAACACTCAAGGAGAGCACAAACTAAACATTACGAGTACTACCAGACAAGAAGTGATAGTTCAGTTGAATTGAATAGAGGAAGCCACGTGCATCAACAGAGTATGTCGCACTCTCATTGGTGGAGGGTCATCACATGATGATTTGCATGCAAGATGCATTGGAATCAGTCAATTTCAGATGAGTGGGAGCTTCAAGGACTTGTGACATGCACAAATTAGTTTTGCATATAGAGGGCAGCACTGAACAAGAATACCTATTTATGTGAGAGGAGGTAATATATTGTATTGGAAGGGTATTCTTGTAATATTTTCATCATCTAGATGGGTAAAACATATTTCCTGTTTGTATGAAGCAGTTTTACCTGAGAATAATACATTACAACACACATACAAAATTCTTGCCTACACATTCTATCATACTATTGGTTGAAATGACAAAAATGTCTCCATTTATTGCAAAAAAGTTTATAATGTTTTTAAATAAGCACCTAAATAGCATTGAGATTTTAAAAACAATTAGTATAGATGATTAATTAAACTTTTAAGAACTCTGTTAATCATTTAAGGAAGATGTTTTGGATTTCATTTTATAAACATCAGTCTTTTTGTTTAACACCAATTCCAAAATCTTTCATTAAAATATCAAAGGGTGTAAAAATATAATAAAACATAAAACAATTAGAAAGCATAATAATTTTCCAAAAGAGAATAATTATTTTCTCTAGTCAATGATATTAAAGACACTTTTTCCTACCACTTTAGTAAGATCTTCTGATGATGCAAAATTATGCAGATCTTCATCATATTCTTCCAATGGCTCCACAATAGAATCCCTACCAAGGTCTTCTTCTGAATTCATATCTGTTGCATGAACTTGCATCAATTATTTTTTGCAATAAACTTATTTGAGAAACTATACAATATTTTAATATTTATCTTTACACATTTCAAAATAAAAAGTTATTACTAAATGCACAAACAATCTTCTAAGTTTAAAGAAAAACTACTACTTTACTTTTCCTGAAAATGTAAATTAATTTAGATCATTTCTGTTCTATACCTCATAAATATGAATTACTGATTATTGCGAGTACATTTATGCAAGTATTACATAATTCAAATTTATTGTAACAAATATGAAATTGTAAAACTCATACTTGATAAAAGAAACCACAGCCAAGGGAACGGGCTTGTTATTAATAGGATATTTCTACTCTTCCAGTCAGTTGAATTTTCTTTATGTTGTTCCTAGTAATGATTGTGATTTTTGGAATCATCATTAGCTAAAGCATTAGTTTATCTTCAGTTTTGGCTAATGGGGAAGCTTATTATAGTTCATGTTTTCTCCTTATTTTTTATAAGGCACTGACTTGATAAGCAATATGTGCAAGCTACAAGACTGAGATAAATTTAGTTTTAATTATTCACTGAATCTGTTGTCATAAAATTAAGAGCAAGTGAAATATTGGTAATATACTGCACACACTTTTTAAAAGTTTGTGGTACACTTGCACTATTCGATAATGAGGAACCCACTTTGAGACTAATAATGCTTGGAGACAGCTTGAATGAGTAATGAAGAAAGACTTTTAATATATCTGTGTCAGTGTAAACTACTTGTACCTGATGATGACAAAACCTTGTTGAAGCGTTGTACATTTGCTGTTATGTTAAACTGATATTAGTCTTTCCTCATTATCCATTCAAGCTGTCTCCAAGAATTTTTACACATGCACTATTGAAGTTTCAGCTCTGATCAGTATCATTTCTCAGTAACATGGGAATTAGATGTGGATGATTTACATGTTTAAAATTTGCAAAGAATTCTGCTAAACTGTTGATAATGTTATACCTAAATAATCGGTAGGAAATAAAATCAGAGTTTTCCTAACAATAAGTACATGTACAAGCTCTTCAATAAGATTTTGATTTGTTTTTTAGAAAAATGCATTTTTTTTCCACATACAAACTTACAAAATGGTTTAAATGATGGTTTGATGTGGATCATTAGTTTAATTAGGTTACCATTTTTGTTGAATAAGTAAATGGAAGTTAAGAACTACATTTAAATTGAAATTATTTCTTTTTTTCGTTGTTCTTAATCCACAAAGGAATGACTTGGTGGGTGAAACAACCTTTAATTCAACCCTTATTTCTTCTTGTAGTTTTTTGTTTTGCTTTTTTATGTTATCATTATAATATTGTTTCCCAAATAAGGTTATATCAACTATATCCATAAGGCAGTCAAACTGTTGAAGTTTTTTTATTAATCTAATTTTATGCATACAACTGCCAAGAACACAATAAAATTACACTGCATATATAAAAAATTATTATGTTGTTAGAAGCATTAAGAATTACTGTCATAATAAAGTATAATGCAGAAGCACTAACCTAGTGTTTAAATGTCACTCTTACACATCACTAGATATCAGTGGCATGAGCTTTAACTTCTATTTCTTCATTGAATTTCCTAATTGGTCATCAAAACTGTAAGAATTTTTTTAAAGAAATAATATTATAAAAACACTAATTATAAACACATTTCAAGGCTTAATACACCATATAAAGAAATTTAAAATGTTAATGTTTGCACATTTTATGCATAAACATAATATATATATTTATATACTGCTCATCTTCTCAAATAAGAAAATAAAAGAAATAGAAGAATCAGGCCATTCTAATGCAAGGTATTACTGACATATTTAAGTCTAACTAAATGTATTTCTAGTAAAAGTAGCAGAACCCTGGTTTCATTGTATAAACTACGTGAATTAGAGGTAATTAAGGTAACAGATTTCAAATTATTTCAAGTGGTTCGTATAGTTGGGTTTGTATGATAGTCTATTTAGATCACCAAATAGAATGAAAATTTATTAATAATAAACTTTTTCATGCATAAGTAATCTAATTTTCATTGATCGTGGTTCAAATCAAGGCCTTCTTAGATTAGTCAGAGTACCTCAAAAAACAATGTTTAGGTAAAATTAACTGCTTGAATACATGACAATTTTTAAAGTTGCAATTAAGAAGTTTGGCTATTTGCCAACTTGAGAAATCTTGTTATACCTTGTGAAAACACAAATGGCTGATTTTTTTAAAAGTTTTATCATGCCTTACTCAAAAATATTGTTTTGTGCATGGCCTGGTCTTACACGTAACTTATTTTCAGTGGTATAAACCTATGTATTTATCATTATTTTTGTTACATTTACAAGGGTTAAAAGTGAGATAACATTAATTCAATCCCTATCCAAGGGATTTTGCCTGTAGTACAATTTTTGGCCAGATTTTGTAAATTCATTATATTTTTGTCACACATATATACATGTTTCATATGAAAAGAAGGTGGCATTGTTTATACCAACTAAGGTACAAATACAAATACTTGAAATAGTAGTTTATATGAGTTTGAAATAATAACCACTTACCAATTAAAAAAGCATACTTAGGCCAAGTAAAAAAAAATACATGTTTAGCATCTCAGCTTGCTTTCTTTTTTGCAGCTGACCCCTCACACACACACTTTTTCTTGGCGATTTTCCCCCTTTTTTGAAGTATCGTTTTTCAATCATACTAAAAAACAAAGAAAACTTCTGAATAAAAAAATGAGATGAACAAATGTGATTCATTTTGCCCTTTTTCTTTATTTGTCATAAATTCTGTGTTGTTTACATGAAACACAGAAGACTTCTGTTTGCCATGGGCCCTTTGAAAACAAGCAACAATCACGAAACAAAGGTTGCAAATTTTCTTTCAAAGAAAATAAGTAAAAAAAAAAAAGGATCTGCCCCTTCCTTTTTTCGAAACTTTTTCATTTCAATTATCCAAACTTTTACTTTTACACTTTTCTTACTTAGGGCCTATAAATTATAATGTCTCCCTTTTAGTTTTAATAGGTTTATAATATGTTTATCTTATGTTTGGGGGGGTAAACATTAATATGCGTCCGTATGTTCTACTTCTTACGTTAATTCGCCAATTAACACCTTGCGTTAAAACTTAAAAGTAATAAGACGCACTAAGCAACAGACGTAGTTAGACTACGCCAAAAATTAACATTGTACAATAACAGGTAAATCAACGAACCTCGTTACTTTTTAAAATCTTTAACTTAGAAGTTAGACATATGGATGACAGTGACAATTTATTACAACGTAACAATTCACAAAACAGAACTTAAGAGTTTTAGAAACAAACATTTTCAATATTTTGATTTTAAATTAAAGTTAGGAACTTCATTAAAAGACTAAACAAACTTGAGACTAATAAATAAACCTTTATACCTGAGGTCTCTTCTGTTAATGTTAAATGTCTAGTACAAGACGCCAATTTCCGCTTCCAATATGTTGTCATGACAACCGTTAAAGTACATCAATGTCCACAAGCGCCTTAGTTCAAATTAAAATACTTTTAATAAAGTATTTTTTCTTGCTATTGATAAAGCAATCGAATAAGTGTTTGTTTGTTTGTAATTAAGCCCAAAGCCACACGGTAGGCTATCTGTGCTCTGCCCACAACGGGTATCGAAACCCGGATTCTAGCGTTGTAAGTCTGCAGACATACCGCTGTGCTACTGTGGGACAGATGCCAAATAAACAAAAAATCAGGTAATAATTCCTGAAATTTAAAGCCCAAAACTTGTCTTGGTGTAAAACGTTTTTTAAATACTATCCATATGTTTACAAAATGTAATTATTACCTCTCTTTAGCTCACTGTTATAGTCAAAAGATTACGTTCAAAAATCTTACAAATGGCAAAGAAGCGCTGTTTTCTTATATTCATTGAAATATAGGCAATTTTTAATCCCATTTCTAACGTTATTTTGAAGAGTAGAGGGTAAATTCAGCCATAGCAGTCCGAGGATTTGGGGGTCGCGCCTAAGAACAGTGAAAAAATAAGATGGGAATATAAACACTTGAAACATACTTCCTGTAACTCTGCATCTTACTTTTAGAAAGGAAAATTCAGACAAATACTTGTTGATGAACGCAAGGCTTTAGACAGTAATTTGTGTGACCTTACGATGGGTGCTCGATACCAGCTATGTTGTTGCATCAGAGATTCTGGAGGTGCAACAATAATTCTCTGATAGCTGGGGTGTTCCCATTTACAAATATAAAGTCAAAGATTTTACACCAGAGACTATAGAGTTCAATTCAACTTTGCATACAATAGATTTTTATCTCTTGATTATTATGTCTGTTGTGACAGTTTATACCTGTAGTTAAAAATTGTTTTGTAGTTTGATATATAACAGTGATTACATAAGACAAGAGATCACTCACTATCTGTTTTCAACAGCTGCAATATGATAAATGACCAGTACGTTTTTTACGATAACTTACCGTCCTTTTCTGTGTGTTTGCAGATACTAAATATGCTATGTGTTGAACTTATGCATTAAATTACCACGCACTGCGTTTCTACCTGCTAGGTACCGCTCTGTTAGTTGAAGGCGAATTCGTAGATTTACGCGCCCATTTGGACAATTGGGAAATTATATCCATGGAAGAAGTTGAGCGGTGAATATACAAGCTACTGGCAAGATGAGGAGCTAATTGTGGAACACTGCCTTTGCTGTCATATTCTAATGACACTAATGCAAAAAAGTTAAGCCTACTGATGTTTAAACGTACCATGGAAGAGGACCCGGCCCAATTACTGACGTGTTACAGTAATTGTCTAAAGTGGTTGGACTAAAAATCAGGCACTGCAATTCGTGATGCTGAGTTCACATAAACCAGCGTTTTTTTTTTTTTCTTTACGAACAGTCGGTTGAGAAGCATTTTAATTTTTAGGATATCGTTGCACCTAGGTTTTTGCCCCAGTAAAAAATAAGTCGTATATTGAGTGAATTTGGAGCTCGAAAGTGTGAGCCCCACAAGAACTTGGTCACATATATATATATGATGAACGTCAAATCCATGAGAAGTGGTACCAACGACCCCGCATCCTTTACGCACAATACATACCGTTTATAGGTTTCATTTTAATAAAAACAAACAAACTCTAATGTCTGGCACCCCCAGTGGCACAGCGGTATGTCTGCGGACTTACAACGCTAGGATCCGGGTTTCGATACCCCTGGTGGGCAGAGCACAGATAGCCCATTGTGTAGCTTTGTGCTTAATTACAAACAAACAATCTAATGTCTGAACCATTCCGAAATAAACTATGTGCAACAGCAGCGCCTTCTAAATATTAGTTGACTGGATACTTCTTATAGTAACGCAACTGATTCCTGGCTATTTATATTAAATCAAAGCGTCTGCGTTAACCCTATTTATAATAAAAATATTCAAGATCAAAATGAATGAGTGATGCTAAAATTAAACTATTAGGTCTGGAAATAAAAGAAAATGAGAATGTTATATTTAAAATATTACACATCTCTAACAATCTTGGAGATGTCTGTATGGAGTTTTACTATAGACCCTTCGTGCGAACATTTAAAAATATCTTAACGGCATTCCCGTGTATGCTTTTGTAGGGTTAACAGTTCATGGGAAAATCTTCATAGATAATTTTATTGAAGAATTTATGTGGAAAAACGGGTTTTAGGAACAGCTCATTTTTTACTGAAGTTTTTATTGTGGAAATATAGTTTAAAGTGAGCACAAAACAAATTGCCAGAATTGAAGAAACTCACCGGTGTAGTAACTTTAGCTGACCGCAGCTGTTCTCCTCGACAACAGTAATTTATATGTATTTGTCATACAATAACATACTGAAATTTCAGCACAGTCCACCACTAACACGTTAATTAACCGAACAGTGGATAGCACGATCTGGAGAAATTTATTAGGATCAAGGAACAAAGATTCAATTGTTTGTGGAGTTATAATAAGTTTTAAGCGTAGTTAATAGGTAATCATCACTTGTCGAAAACATTTTGCAATTCTCTCTTTCTCAGTACTATGATGTTATTCTGTAATTAACTATCGATTGAGTGAGATAAACTGTGTTGTATATCAGTTCGAGAAATTATCCAGTTGTCTGAACTGCAACAAGAAAGGTCCTTATTCCACAAGGTTTATGTGATGTTTATTTTTCTTGGGTTGCTAGTAGTAATGAGTTTCTCCATAAGTGGATATTTGGTTTGTTTGTTTGTTATGGATTTCGCAAAAAGCTACACGAAGGCTATCTGCGTTAGCCGTCTCTAATTTAGCAGTGTAAGACAAGAGGGAAGGCAGCTAGTTATCACCACCCACCGCCATTTCTTGGGCTACTCTTATTCCAACGAATAGTGGGATTGACCGTCACATTATAACGCCCCTACGGCTGAAAGGGTGAGCATGTTTGGCGTGACGGGGATTCGAACCCGCGACCCACAGATTGCCGGGTATTTGGTAAATGAGAGATTAGATATTTGTAATAACGGCTTATCTAATGTAACGAATAGTTTTGCATATATATATATATGCTAAGGTCAACAGTATGAGAAACGATGGTGGGTAACACGCTTCTTAGCATAATGACTTGTTTGTGACTCCTAGGTATACCATTTGGAATTACTGTAAGGCTTATGTAACACTGAAGGAAAATATGCAGCACTCATCATTTTCAGTGTGAAATATATATATTGAATTTGGTCCAAAGTAATACATGTAAACTTGTAGTTTTTGCAAAATAAATATCAAATACACATATTCTGGAGTACCATGTGAACTCATTTATGCATTAGGTACACGAATACAGAGGGTTGAGTACATTAAATCAAAACAATTTCGATTATGCAAATCGGTGTTTACATGACAATTATTTACGGTATAACAGCATGTATTAGAACTACATTTTGACGTCTTTCGATATTACTTAGGTATTGAGATTTTACAAATTTATTACTTTAGGGAAGGTAAGTAACAGCTGTTTTCAATTATTTTTATGCTCAAATCTTGAAGATGTGTTCAGATCAGGAATTTAGAGTTTCCAAGATAGGAATGTCCTTTATACTTAATAACAATGGAATGTGATCAATGTGGGATACCAGGACTATCCAAAGAGAGACCTGCAACAAGTTGTACCCCAGTCATGGTAAATAAAATGTGTCATCTCGTAACAGGTGTGCTTCCATGAACATTAGTGGCAAAAACCATATACATGCCCCAAGGAACAGTATCTAACATGATCAAGAATGACCTCTTCCTGGAAAAGCAGCATAAGTCGCAAGTACACAAGTTGCTCCTACAACATGCCTGTTTAACGATAAGGTACCTCACACAGTGGAGAATGAAATCGTATTCACACAATCTAATATAAAGACACATTGGTCAAGTCACCAGATGTAGCACCTATGGATTTTTGTGTTCAGACCTTTAAAACGAACATTGGGAAATTATCATTTACGTACACTAGACAGTTTATGGAAATCAAACAGGGAGTAGTGTTGTACTTTTGACATGACAGGCTTACTGTGGAGTCTTTTGCAATGGAAACCACACTGTTGGGCTATTGTCAAAGTGCTTGACTATCAGATAGAACATGATCAGACATAGAAACATGGACTTTAATTAATGGCGAGACCCTAAAATGATTTTAGTATGACATACTCAAACATTACAATTCTTGTAAAAGTGGTAGTACATTCCTTTAACCCTTTAACTGTGGCTGCATTAAACATGCATGGAATTTTTGTGAGCCATACAGTACACTCGCATTCAACTGCTAGAGGCAGAACATACTCTATATGGCAGTCAATGAGTTAAGTAATTTCTCTCTCTTGTGCTTCTAATGAGATATTATCCCAAAGATGTATTTGCATCCTGGCAAGAACTATAGCATATACAAGAAAGACTAAGCAAGAGAACAATGGTGGAAAGTCACCAAAAAGGGTAAATTACAAGATTACACTCTGACCTCTTGAACTGATATGTACAATGAGCTGTAAAGGTCAGAATCCAGTGTTTCTGAAATCCCATACTGAATAAAACCTTTAGAAGTGGTTAGGAACAAGCTGTAGTGGGTGGAAACATTTTTAAGTCCTACATTATCTTCTTTCTGGTAGCAGGAATACTATCACATCCATGCTTGATGTTCCTGGGATCAGTCAGATGCTTTCATTTAATGTTAGAAAAAGTGTTTTCTCTACGTGCTAAGCAGAACTTCATATATAACTGACCTTAGGTTATGTTGTCATTTGTATGAAAATTTGATGTTTAAATGAGAGTTTGAAATTAGGCCAAATATTCAAACTCAAGTTGATAGAAAGGGGTCAATACCTGTTTTAACACTGGATCTATAGTTATTCATGCAGAAATTATGTAAAATTTCCCTTGTTACAACCAGCAGGGTGTACAAAAATATAAAAACTCACATCTATTCTTTAAGGGTTTGGCAAAGGAATATTTTAAACACTTTTTTAAGGTAGATCCAAAAACAAATAACATAGCATCTGCTGTTTAAAGTGTCAATCATTAGATACCATGGAGCACTTGAAACCTGATTAATTATGCAGCTGCGAAACCAATGTTGTGGAATTCCATGCTTTTAATTGGTAGAAAATACATTTATTTGGTGGGGTTCAAGGCTCATAAACATTGTGCCCATGAAAATATATTTGCATATACCAATGAACCATGTCATTCACTTTGTAAAACATACATATTCCAGCATGGTAATAGCTGATGGAGAAAACATTCTAGTCAATAAGTTTACTTAGGGACTTCCTATCAAGCCCATTAAATATCACTTCAGCATTGGAGACGTTACAAGGTTTCTGACAATGGCATTCTAGTATGTTCCAAGCAAGCTGAACATATGGTAGTGAAATATTAAAGAGTTACTGCCAGGATGCCCAATTAATGAGTTCTCTTCCAGATGATAGAGTACCATTATTGAGACAGAGAGTTAAAGGAATAGTCCAGGGCAACACAATAACAATAAAAAAATGATTGAGAGCTGGTTAAGATGCAAAGTGGCCTGTCTAAAGTCAAGGAGATCCTCTACAGGATGTTGCAAAAAATGTGCAAAGCATCAACTTGGTATCTTTTTCATGATAAAGTTATCAAAAACCATTATGCACAAGATTCAGAAAAAGCCCAAATAAAATTCCACAGGTACTATGGGTAAGTAAAATTATTCTGATTAAAACTAGATTTTACAAAATGGTGACATCAAATACTAAAAACTATGTGACTCAGCAGTCTGCAATTGCTCTTTTCTTTGCAAAATTATTTAAAGTTGTCAAAATAATTATGTATTTGAATGAACAACATACATAACAATTACAACACAAAAATCTGTAATTAGATTAACTTTTCATTTAATAAGCACTAGTCTTTATTTACAATACATTGATCACAATTACATGTAATAAACAACAATGACTGATGATGAAAAAGTAAGAATTCCCTGATTCATATCTGAGAGAATTAACTATATACTTTCTGTTTCTAGCACCTAGTGGTGGTATGAAAAACATTTAGATGTTATACAAGTTCCATGATATCTTGCTAATAAATAAGAACACAAATTAATATAAAGTCAAATGAAATATATGTAAATTTTTTCCCATCCAAATGCTAATTTTAAAGCATTTCTGATTATATTTTTAATAAATTCACTAAATCAATCTATTTTTCATGATACTTTTTGAAAAATATATCATGCAGTTACACTTGCAAACTTAGGGTGATTTCTACCAAAAAATGTAATATAAAAATATTTTCCTAAAGCTGATATCCTTAATTCATGAACTTTGAAATGTTCTACTTAGTAAGCTTTAAGCCACTTACTTTATTTTGTTTTCATTTAACCTATTCCAAACTCAGTATTAAGAATAATTGTTGACATGCAGTGTACCGAGAAAATCACCTTTTTTGATAACATTCTCAATGTTTCAAATTCCACCATAAATCTTATTAAACAGTTAATAACATTTCTAGATATTTAATGTTTACCATAAAAATATTTTATCCATTTATTTAAAGTTACCTGATTCTTATTTAGTTTTCCTTTAAACAAACACTGTTTATTGGCTAATTTTGTAGTTAATGCCAATGATTTTCTAAACAAATCTATCTTTTGACTTTTATAGAATTTTTCATTTGTACCTAAAACTTTCACTAAATCATGTGTTTCTTTAATAACTATTAAAACATATATATATTAAAGTTCAAATTAAAAAATCCTTGAATACAGTAAGAATATATGTCAAATGAACTTGATAATCTTTATACAGGGTATTCATAAAGTTCTTGTGCAAATTTAAACCTCAATAACTTTTGATGTATACATGATAGAAACAAACTGTAAATGGTACATAAAAGCATAATTCATAAAATTCTTACTACAATGTAATATTTGTATTTCATATCCCCAACTAACGAATATAGCAACAACAGAAGAAACGGTTAGCTGTGTGCTGTGGTTAGGTGAACTGAAGTCAATAACAGCAGTGAAGATAAAATTTTGAGCTCATTACAATGAAGATGCACTACACTGCAACTCAGTTAACAATTGGATGAAGAAGTTTAAAGAAAGGGGCTAATGAGTGACAAAGTATGATCCAGAAGGCCATGAATCATTGATAGGGGACTGTAGCAGCTTCAGAATTTTTTGGCTTGTTTGTTTGTAATTAAGCACAAAGCTACACAATGGGCTATCTGTGCTCTGCCCACCACGGAAGGGGGGTAGGCACTGCAGAAGGCGATTATATTGAAATTTAGAAAATTACACTTTATTGTAATAAAAGTTCATGAATTACAGTTTGTTTCTGTTATGTGTATATCAAAAGTTATTAAAGTCTAAAGTTGCACAAGGACCTTATGAACTTATAGTTTTTATATATATAGAAAATCAAGAAACATATTTTTCTCTCTCTTTCTGTGAAGGAGGGCAAGAGAATGAAGTCAGTTACAATATCTTAGGAACACCTCTTTAACTCAGTGTGCTTTAATATGTGTAGAATAGAGTAATTTCAATGTAATCATTCAAAAACAATACATATTTTTAATGCTCAATGTTATATCAATTTGCTCATTTTGTATCATCATCATGGACAAAACTATCTAAAATAATGTTATCATTTTTTGCAGGTACAAATTTGTTCTAGTACATACAGCAACATTTTGATAACTGGAAAAAATTATCAGATATAATTTATTATAATCAACCTACACACTTTTTTAGTATATATTTTTTCCTTAGTTTGTATATTAATGATATTATATTGTTTTGAATCTTATACATTAAAAATACCTAGTACACAGAATTGTAATTTCTTTTATTTCCAACTGAAAAATGAGTGTCACATGAAATTACAAAAGATTTTGTGTTAATTTACAAGAAAGTTAAATAGCCAAGTTCATAAAATGAAAAGAATACCTTATGAATTTCCCAAAAATATCACAATATGGTTTTAAAGTTCTGAAACAAGAATTGATGTTAACATATAACCAGTTTAATAAACAATATAGGTATTTCAATAATAAAATACAGACAGTTCAAGTATTAACACCTCAAACAGCTTGCCAGTTGGGAAACGTAGAATAATATTTCATAACTATACAGACCAGGAAAATGACAATGTTCAAAATGGAAGAGTTTTCTTTCCTGGTAAGGCACAGAAGCAAAGAAACTATAATATACTTTTGCTTCACTTGACAATCTCTCATTGAAATAGAAAACACTATTTAAATGATTGAGTACTATTATTCATGACTACAAAGTATTCACAAATTAGTTAACAACAGAGGAACATTTTGAACAAAAGAAAATTATATATATATATATTTTTTTTTCTGTAACATTTCTAGCTTGTTGATCAAAGTGCTATATAATGTTCACATATAAAATATCATCTATCATTCACACATTTGAAGAGATATTCCAACATTGTACTTTCTTTTGAACAAAAATAGGAATATAGGAATAAACACTAGATTACAATTGAGAGTTTTTACAATATAGAAAACAAATAATTTAAAGGTTACCTGCCTATGCCCATGCATGAACCTTTTTATGTTAATGAATTCAAGGAGACCCACCCAGTTTGATTTTTACAAATTTTGTTTGCATATGAATAGAAGTTTTGAAATCCATTAGTTAACTGACTAAAGATGTTTTGTATTCATATAATGGCAAAAATAAAAATATCTAAGTAGTAAAAAAATCTTATTAGAATATTACAATTTTTAGTTTGAGCTATCTTAAAGATGAAGTCAAACCTTCATTTTTAAACGTTTTACTCAATTCATTGGTGCAAGAGGTCTACTGCTTGTTTTATTGGACTCTTCTTTTACTAGAATACTCTGCCACATCTTTTGTACAAACTTTAGAAGAAGCAATCAAAGGAGAAATATTGTGATGCTCCCTGTCATGTATCAGTGTAGTAAATATGACAGGAAATCTCTTATTTACTAATTATTACTACAGTCAAAATTATACACAAATAACCACAATAATAAAGCTTAAATTACAATTCACTTGTAAAGATTAAATATTTATCTGGAAGATTCGTATTTTTTATGTATTGTTGACACAATTCAAATATAGAGAGCTGAAGATGGTTGCAATGAAATAGTAGAATGAGCAACATTTCTCATTAAAAAACTCTACCCAAAACCACATTAGCTTTATCTTTTTCCCCATCTTTGTTATCTTATTGAGTCAACTAACTATTGTCTGTAATTTTGGTCTTACTCTTCTGGCAAGGCTTGGTAAAGACCAAACAAATGTCATCCAATAAATTACTTTAATATTCCATTGACAAGGATAGATAAAAGAATTGAAATTGAAGGAAATCAGCTTTTGTGGCATCCTTTGTCAGGGCACTTGCTGTGTAATCAGTTAACTGGCAAACGTTATTATATTATTATTATTAAAACTAATCTCATCTTAATATTACAGTTTAATTTTACATTTAGTCCCTACACTTTAAAATTCATCTTACATCATCTCAGCAAGGATCACTTGTTCCATTCCACAACACAATAATGACCAGCATAAAGGATAAATGCACAAGATAAAGTACTTAAACACTTGGGACAAATACAGTTACTGGAAAAATACAAATATCATGCAATGACATCTGGTGAAGATAAATCACAAACTTCATACTAACAACTAATACCAAAGCAATGAAAAAGGAACTCATAAACTTACTTCTCATGCTGATAATCAAAAAATAACCCCTGGCAAAGATTTCTTTCCTATAAATAACATACACTAATTTGTTTCCCATCTTCTTGATGAGTAAGTGCATTTGAAATGCAACAAATCTCCAATGAAAATATCTAAATGTTAATTAGCTCCACAGAAACACTTACACATAAGTTACTAAATCATAAACTAAAACTTACTCAAAACAATTCTGAGCAAACACCTGTTGACAAAAATGGCTGCAGCAATAATTCTCAGTTAGAGGTCCAGAACACACTGCCATCTGTTGTAACACCCAAATGATTTCACCCAGTTTTTGACACTAGACATAATATAAATGAAGATAGTGAAATTACAAAAAAAATAACACTTTGCCAAGAATTTTTTAGTCTCAGATGTTTTTCCAGTTGTGGATGTGTGATTTAATAACAAGACCCACATGATCTCCATGCAATACCCAAGCAATGTCCAAGTAATGCTTTTAAATTAACAAATGTATCTGTATATTTACTTGGTGAAAAAATTAAATTGTGGTAAAATAATAAATATATCAGCAGTGACATACACCAGTCATAAAAGTATGGATTCTACCATTAACATCATATCAAACATAATTGAAAAGACATACTAAAGCATATTGGGTCAGCTAAATTCTATGCTCTAAAGGTTGACGAATATAAAGCTTTCAGTGTCTGTCAAAACACCATGATATATATCATAGTTCATCAATGATGTAGTTCTCAGGCTTTGTATGACAGTATATGTGACACTTTAACCACAAAAGAATTACCTTGAGAATCTCTCATTGCTCTTTGCAGTCATTACTAACACTCAAGATCTTTTAACTCTCAAGATACAGTTAGTTTGAAAGGGACCTTTTTATAGTTGCATTCAAAATTTAATTTAATTGCTTTGCTTTTAATGTTTTCAATAAACTTGGTATTAAATTGTAGTTTATAATTCAATCTTAATAATATATTAGTTTAATTTCTTAATTTCAAAAACAAATATTTAAATAAATTCTCAATCTTCACTTTTATGTATCACATGACACTTCTTTGCTCAAAATGTTCATTTTAGAATTTATTTCCACCCCCTATATTATTTTCTAAGTTTCAAAGAACTTACACATCAGATATCCCCAAGTTAAAATGAAACTTTTTAGAATCTACTTTTCTTGCTTTAATCCTCTCCAGATGGGTCACAGGTCAAAGAACATGTCACCATGTTTGGTGACTCTCATTCAACATGTTATTGAACTACTATTTCATGAATTTATGTCAATAAGTTTGGTATCAAACTGTAGACTATAATTCAAATTTTAGTATCATACATTATTTAATTTCTTAATGTGGTATGTTGAATGCAGCACTGGTTCAAATTAGATGTTTGTGATGTCAAAATACTAAGTCTATTGTTTTGTACAAATTAAAAACTCAAATTACTGATATTGACAAGCTAAAATATAAAATAAGAACCTCATATCTTTTCTATTTGCTGAGATATCACTCAGGTTCTGAATCAAACACAGTGGCCCCAGCTCACCTCTTTCCATTTTTGCAAATAGTCCCTTATATACACTTGGCTGGACACGGCTTAAATGGGTAATGAAGAAAAACTTTAATATAAGCTTAACATGACTTAACATTTAAGCCGTCTCCAGCCATTATTAGTCTCAAAGTGGGTTCCTCGTCATCGAATTATATACACTTACTTGAATATTTGACATGTGAATAACCAATCAAAAGCTTAGATTGTACTCCTAGTGGCATTCTCAGCCATTTTTCATGTATTAGGATGCCATCTCGTTTTTCGAATCAAGATTTGAAGGAGGTATTAGTCTGCTCAAAATTTCATATTTTTTAGACCCAAATACAGCTTAGTTATTAAGCTTGATAAATTATAGTGGAATTCTATAGTATCAATATAGTAATTTACGATTTTTTGATTATTTGAAATGTATATATAAAGCCTGAAAAAATTATTTTGTTTCACATCCTCCAAGTGTGAAATTTTAAAAGTCTTAGCAACCTACATCAAGCAGCAACTGAGTACAAGGGTTGTAACTAGAAGGATAATTGTTTGCTTTACTTCTTTATTTACTGTTCTATGTTTAAGGAAAAACAAGCTTAAGAACTTATTTCTAAATAGTAATAATCTATGTATGTATATATATATATATATATATATAT